TAGAGACCCTCCCCGGCAGCCCCCCATCTGCTCTGCCTCCGGCTTCCCGGATTCAGCTGCTGGTCAGTTTTAGCAGCAGCTGAATAGGGGAAGCTGGGGGCAGAGCAGCTCCAATGGTCCGGCTGCCGGAGCACTTCCGGGTTCCTGATGGTGCCGGACCATCAGGAGTGCCGGACCGTCAGATGCCGGACCGTCAGAGTTTTACTGTATATCTGATTTGATTTAAAAAAATTATATCTTTCTGGTTTTGTAAATGTACATCCCAGGGCAAGAAATAAACCCACAGAACCAGAGCTCAGCATAGAAATCAAAGGTCTCCTCTCCCAGGTCCAGGAGAATGGAACAAGTTCCCAATTGTGTGGCTCTTCCTGGCACAGCTGGCCTCCCAACCAATGCTTTGAGCTAAATCACAGTTCTAGGTTCCTCTAAGGCAGTGGTCTCCAACCTTTTTAAGCACGAGATCACTTTTTGAATTTAAGTCCAATCCAACATCTACCTCAAAACCAAATACTCTTGTCCTGCCTCCTTTTACCCCTTCTCTGACACCCATCTTTGCTCACCCCATCCTCCTTCACTTTCACTAGGCTGGGGCAGAGGGTTGGGGTGCAGGCTCTGGTCTTGGATTCAGGGATTTGGCATGTGACAGGGGCTCTGAGCTAAGCCTGGAACAGGCAGTTGGGGTGCCAGAGGGAGTTCTAGGTGCAGGCTCTGGGAGGACATTTGGATAGAGGTGCTCGGGGCTAAGACAGGGACTTGGGGGGCAGGGAGGGGTTCATGTCTGGGGTAGGAGTTCGGGATGTGAGCTCCAGCTAAGCACTGTTCAACTCAGGTGGCTCCTGGGTGGTGGTACAATGGAGCTAAGGGAGGTTCAACCTTGTCCTGGCCCTGCACCACTCCCAAAAGCATCCAGAAAACTCCGTTCCAAGTCCCATTGTGTCCCTTCTCTGCTCTGTGGAGATAGGATACTGGGTGGGAGAGGGGGCACCTTGACACCAGCACTCCTCATCTCCCTCCCCATCCTTCACAGCAAGCAGGAGGCTCCTGAGGGGACAGCTCCAAGGCAAAGGGCAGGAGATGCACAGCAGCGGGGGGAGGAGCAGCTGACCTGCCGGCCCTGGATAGCCTCTTGGCCAAACCAGTCAGGATCACCTTTCAGAGGCTCAAAGATCTACCTGTAGATCTCTAAGGAGCCTGCTGGAGCAGAAGGATAATAGGGGTTAGTGCAGTAGTTACATGGCAACTCCTTTCCCCTTAAATCACTCACGCACCATGATGGGAGACTCTTGCTTCTCACTCTGTGAGAACATCTTCTCCAACACCAGGAAGGTCAGAAAACCAATGATCACCCAGAGACCAAGAAGCTTCTGCTGCTGGAAGCTCTGCCCAGCTCCTAGAAAGCAAAAGAGATCTCTGTTTGCATTGTTGGGATGCTGAATTAGAAGCCTCACTCCCCAGTTCAATGCAGCTTGTGACTGAGGGACTCAAGACAAGAACACAGGGCAGAACACATTTTCTTTAGCCCTGTAGGAACACAGAACAAACACATCCTGCAGAAAACCCCATTTGCTTCATCTACTCATTCTTGATCGAACATAGGTCCGGGGGAAACTAGATTTCACATTCCAAATACTCCAGCGATGGAGTCTAGCCTGTCTCCTGGTTACTCTCAGGAGCCTTTAAGCCCAGCTCCTAAGCGTCTCTTCCATAAATTACAGTGCAAAGGCAAGGCAGAAATTTCTTACCGGAGGCTACAAAGATGCTTGTATCAGCACAAATCCTGCATCTGAGCTTATGTGAGTAGCAAGTATAGACACGAAGGCTCTGTTTTGGGAAGGTGAACCAAATACCTATCTTCCCCATCACACCACACCTGGGCAAGATATTAGCCCAAGTTATAACATGTTTCTTTCAATTAAGGCTGAAATTGTCATATCCTCTTCTGTTCATTCTGACTATCAGGGCAAAGACTATACTCAGACAGGGGGGGCATGTAAACCTGGAAGCTTAAGACAAGGGAAAAGACTAACAGACATGAACAAGCTGCAATAGAGGAGGTGCAGTCACCAAGGGCCCAAGACGCTGGGTACAGCTGACCCTGCTAGTGCAGTGAAGATGGAAAGGACCAGTGGAGAAGCAGAGCTCTGTGGAAGGATTCTGAATTTCCATTGCTTAGGTGCCACTCAGCATGGATGTCCCATAATCTGTTTTCTCTATTTCCTATGTTCTCAGGAAGGAAAGGATTCTACAATTTGTTGGGCAGAGATCATGGGAATCCCCTTCTAGGTGGGAGATACTGTGACAGAAATCTGAGCACTGTTCCCAGAAGAGTCAGGAGGAGTTTCTCTTTTTATTGAGCAGCTACTGCTTATAGGATTCAGCAGTATTCAGCTTCTCATGACAGTAGTTTGCTCAAGTGCAAAGATAACTTATTTGTCTCTACAAATAGCTACTGGAAGGGGGCTATGCTAGTTGTTTCCCAAGATTTATCCGAGGGCACACCAGCACCATCTCAGGGCTTGTGCTCAGTTTGCTGGCTGCAGCTCTTTCTTTCCTCTTCACCCAAACACTATAGTAACTGGCAATTTCCACCACTTCTCAGGCACTGCCTGGGATGTCAGATTTGGCCTCTGTTGTACCAAGGTAGGGCATGGATGGAGAGCGATTCACAGAGTCAAGGCACCCTTGCTGAAAAGTAGGGTTGTTAAGTGTCTGGTATTGGTCCAGACAGTCTGGTATTTGTGGCCTCTGTCCAGTTTAAAAAAACCACCCAGAAAATACCGGACATGTATTTTCTCAACTTCATCTCCCCCTCCCTTTTTTTTTTGCTCAACAACTTTGGTCCCCCCCCCCTTTTTTTTTTGGTCTCAGCCAATTCTTTTTCCACAATGTTCAACATTTTTTGTGAAAGTATCTGGCAACCCTACTGAAGAGACTCCAAGAGCAATAGCGGGATGCTAGAACATAGAACATTAAGAAAAGCAGCACGATGAAGAAACACATAGCAGCCAGTGCTTGGCGCTGACTGTGCTGCTCAAAGCATTGGGACAGTGGCAGATATTACCTGTAGTGGCGCTGCAGGTATAGGCCCAGGCCTCAGGGAGGAGGTGCAGAAATACATTTCCCAGAAGCCCACCAATTGCAAAACTCAACAGCTGCTTCAAACGATTGGATCCCGCTGAAAAACAAACAAGTGATCACAGCTAGGCTGGAATCCAACTCCACCCTTCACCCCCGACAACTTGTGTGAGACATCCCAATTAGGGGTCTGAACTACCAGGGAATCTGAGAAGGGAAATGAACTGAGAGAGAGACATGCTCCAGGGCACTGCAGGGTCATGACTGAGCTATGGGTGGCATTGTACCTTAGAACCTTGTGCCTGGCAATGAGAGTCAGAGCATGAACCGTACATTCAACCAGGCTCAGTTGGGGGAGTCTGTACTCCAGTGGAGTGGAGGAGCATGTGAGCATCCCTCCTAGGAACCAAGTTAAAGAATGCTCTTTGTATGAACTCTACACCTGAAGTCCCAGATCTCCACACTCGGCAGGGGACTAACCTGTTCCATGTTTAGAAGTGGCACTAGTCACCCAACTTGTCACAGGAGTGGACAGTCCTGCATTTCAACAGACAGCATTTCTAGGGCATCAGGAAGATCCCAGCTCCCATGTCAAAAAGAACATAACCCCATTCAGTCACAGCCTGTTGGGGGCATGCTGGTATCAGGAACATAAGCCAGGGAGCAGATTTACCTTCTGATTGCAGAGCAGTTCCTGTCTCAAGGGGAATTATCAGCACAGGGAAGACTCCACTCAGCCCTACCATAATTGAGCCAATCAGAGAAAAGATCCAGGCATCCAGTCGCTCCCCACTGAACAGAGTTCCCCAGGACTCAGCCTCTTTCTCACATAGAGGACTGGCACCACTGGTGACCTTGCCCACTGGAAACTCCTGGGCTCCATAGGAGATGTTGAAGAGAAACAAAGCAAGCGTCCCATGAAGCAGAAACTGTTGCCTTGTCATCGCTGAGTAGTTTCAGCCTGGCTGGCCAATCTCTGAAAGGAAGAGGCAAAAACTGAGTTCTAAGAGAAAATGGAAGAACCCAGCTCATGTGAAATGTAATGAGGTGATTTTAGGGATATGCTGGAGCAGAGGCTGTCTGTGGTTCCGGGGAGAGCTGCTGACATAATATATCAGTTAGACTACCCAAATGTGAATCCCCAATGGAGACATGCTAGATAAGTGGCACTGAAGTGGATATCTGCTCATCAGTGCACTAGAGCAAATTTTTTCTGGTTTAGATAATCTCTCAGACACCTTAGTTGAAGCATTTTTCTTAAAACGATCTGCAGTTCACCTTTAAATGGGGAGCAATTTCAGTACATCTGGACCTCAGGAGCTATACATAGAGGGACCAAGAGCCTTCATGTCCTCCAGATCAAAGTCCTACTCCAAGTACAAACTGTCTGCCAGTTGTCTGTAAACATCTCTGATCACAGCTGATCTCCTGAGAGCACATCTTTTAAGATGGAGCTCCATATTAATTTTCACAGAGAACCTCTTCCAAATTATTTCAAATACTTTTCCTGACAAGAAGTGTCACTAGGAATCAGATTAGAGAGGGTTCACTTGTTAGAGGCATAAATGCCAGCACTTTGCTATGTGATGGATGGAATTCCAGTTAAGAGCCTCAGCAATCACAATGAGGAGATTTATGTAGCACAACTATCTCGATCAGAATGAAATGGTTATAAATGATGCATATGAAATCCACAACTCTGTTTAGTGTCTTGACAACAGTGTCAAGTCTTCACAATTATCCCAGCAATCAGAAGGTAGCTAATGCTTTGGGTAAATATTAATGACAGAACTACAGGAAGAGAATTGTGTGTCAGATGTGGTCCCCACCCCAGTTGTGTAGATGCAAATCAGCTACAGGCAGTCCCCGGGTTACGTACAAGATAGGGACTGTAGGTTTGTTCTTAAGTTGAATCTGTATGTAAGTCGGAACTGGCATCAGCCGCTGCTGAAACTGACCACCAGTTCCGACTTACATACAGAATCAACTTAAGAACCCCAAGCGTCCCCAAGTCAGCTGCTGCTGAAACTGATCAGCAGCTGATTCCAGGAAGCCCGGGGCAGAGCAACTCTGCCTCGGGCTTCCTGTAGTCAGCGCTGGTCAGTTTCAGCAGCAG